AAATGCACGAGATAAATAATGTTCTGTATAGAATTATTTAAAATTTAATTAAACATAAGCTGGTAAATTGTGGTGGTTATCGCAGAATAAATGAAGGTTATCCTAGCTAGCCTCGATCATTTTCCCTATTGTGGCCTAGAGACTCATAGTTATCAATTCGTTTTTGGTACTGAATATATTTATGTTGTTATGACCGTGATAATCTCTAGGCCGTCTCAACTCGAACAAATAAACGTCGTTTCTTTAAATTCATTAAAATCTCCGTGACGTAGTTGCCAACTATTCGTGCTTCGGCGTCGGGGGTGGTGGGTTCGATTCCCACACGGGACAACTATTTGTGTGATCCACAGATAAAAAGTGTGGGGGTCAGTTCATAAGCTATACAGCGTGTCGTTACCATCGCGATAATAAATGAACACACATATAGGGGATAAGTTTTTAAAGTGGTATTAAACATTTAAATTCTTTAAACATCAATATTTACAGAGTTATTAAATTTTCCAAAACAAAAAATTTTAGAACACCCTTACCTATAAAAGCATAACGTAAAGTTCATTTGTAAAGGTCACAAAGCATATGAATTTAAGAGACAAAACATACTGTTAGAAGGAGAGGCTTGTAATACGACGCTGTGGCGCGAGTTGTATAGGATGTTACAAATTTTGTTTCTTTTTCACTTAATTAGTTTTTTTTAATTTTTTTATGATTATTGGCACGTAACGTTAGACGTGTGTTCATTTATTGTCGCGATGGTAACGACACGCTGTATAATGTAGATTTTTTTGGAAATAAAGTAATTTGTATTTGTTGTTATTTCACATCTGGGTGTTTTTCCACGTGAAATTTATGTTTGTAAAACGTACTTACAACACAGAATAATGTTATCCTAAAGTTTGTTTGGGCAATGTTTTTAAATAAAAATAATAATAATTCATATGTCTATATGTTTAATTTTTATCTATAAACCCAACCAGGCGAGAAAACAAATAAATATCCCCAAATAATAATTCATTAAAATAATCTCTAACTAGAAACACCGACGAATTCATACATAATGAATATGGAAAAAAATTATACATATTATAGGTGTGCATTTGTGAGTAATCATGTGAAAGTAACAACTAGTACCAATAAAACAAGAATAAGTCAAAAGAATAATTAAAAATATACTGGTACAACAGGTAGCGGATCATTTAGAACATAATCGCTATGCGATGAATCGTCCGGGTGGGTGAAGGGTTCATATGAGTATGTATTCTGACTTCTTTATGTTTTTGTGTAATGTTCGTTAATTAGTTTTGTAGATAATTTGAAGTTCTATTGTTGTGAAATTTTTCCTATAGTTATGGCGAAACCCAAGTGTTCATTTAATGCCAACCCACAAACAAAATACCCATTTATTAAGCAAATTAACACTCCTTCGGATGTCAGATGCGAAAAGTGTCGCACAGTTTAGTGTTTCCCATTGTGGTGCAGGTGATATTGAACAGCTCCAGTTCTGAAGGCAATGTTGATAACAAAGGCAACATACAACGTAAAAGAACGTGCCAAATTTTATTCTTATTTGAAATCGTCACCTTCTTTATTAAAACAAATTTGTTTCTCTAAGAAATATAAATATATTTAAAAACATACCAATGTATGTTTTGATAAAAATAGTGAACTGATGATTTTTTTTGTATCTATTAATTTTTAATCTTTTCGGAATAAAGAAAATTAAAGTAATGTTTATTTTCATTGTAAACCGATGTCCCGTTTTGAGGTAAAAAAGTGGTCTGTTTAAGTACCAACTAGTTTCGGACCAGTTACCCATCGGAGGTCCTTCATTAATTAAGTGAGTGGGATTAGCCTGGTTATTTATATTATACTTTAATAATGCCTCACGAAAGTTTTAATATTTTTATGTTTTAATTTATAGACTCATAGAAAAGTCGGTATTGAGCGTCATTTTCGAATAGTCATTGTATGGTGGCACTGACGCAGCGCAAGCGGCGCTATCAGCAACTAGTATAGACCAGGTAGCCCGTCATTCGATTTCGATCGCATCGACTCTGGAAATATCGATCTCAACAAGGAACAAGTTTAAGTCAATCGCGATGCATTGAAAGTCATAGCGGAATGGGATCATCTCCAACCACGTCGAAACTAGCAGCGGCCACACACTTACCCATCCAACCGGCAATTACGCCGTGACCCGCTTTCCTTATCATTCGAGCTGTATCCAAAAATCTGATTTAAGAGATAACATACATTCCGCCGCATTTTGCATTCATGCGGAGCTTTGATAAGATAAAAAAAAGCACAGAAAATAAAGAGTAAATACATTAAGATTAAATAACAAAATGCTCTACGGTAAACGTCGCCTTATATAACTAGACGGTGGAGCCGAGGGACACATCCATTCTAGACGGCTTGCACTGTCAGGTCTTGGTTACCAAACGTGGCAGCGGTGCCGTACCGCTCATCGCACGTGTTCTTCACACGGCCTAGAGAGACTCTGTCATATAGTATCATTTTATAGATTGGAAGGGCTTTTGCTTAATGAAAAATAAACCACTGCCGCCTAAGAAACAGGCCTCCAGACTGCAATCGCGCTAACGTATCAAAGCTGCATCGCCACTTACCATGAGGTGGGATGGCAGTCAAGTGCTGGCCAGTTCGAAATAAAAAAAAAACTTCGCTGCATTCTTATCAGTCTGTGTATTTGTGGCGATGAACTTCGCCAAACTTAGCCAATTGGCCAATAAAATATGTTCTAACAAATGGTCTTAATTGATGCCATTTGGTCATTTACGACCTATAAGTAAAGCCGCACCACGTCATAAAACTTAATCCCCGCTTTGGGACGAAGAGTACAACAATAGGTAGAGTTAAACCACCGTCTCTGCTTGTCTTATTCTTTAAAGAAAACGGCTCCAGGGGCAGAGCCTGATTTAGAGGTCTGGAGGCCTCGGGGCAACAAAGGAGTGGAGGCCCTTTGGCCCAAAATTATTTTCTATTGATTTCTGTTAATATTTAATGTAATCATGTTTGTCAAAGTACTGTAGGTAAAAGTAAAACGCGAAAAAATTTGAAATAGTGTTTACTATGATTTACTAGTCTGAATTTGAATTTTATTTCCGAAGTCTCTATTGTGTGGGCCTCTCGTTTGTGGAGGCCCCGGGGCTGTTGCTCCGGTTGCCCTTCCCTAAATCCGGCTCTGTCCAAGGGTCAAAAGGAGGATATTTGCGAATGTTGTGCGATACAATTTTTTTATTATAATATTTCTCTCTGTTGATTTCATAGAGCTAAATGCTGTTAAGGCACAAGCTCCTTCAGTATAATGCCTGTGTACGATCAATAACATCAAAGGTTTTCAAGTACACTTGAAAATACTCCAAGTCGTACGAAATAAATTCATGCGCATGACAACCGACGCATCTGGATGGTTGGTATCAGAGAACTGTCGATCTATTATATGTATTATAAATGTATTTAAAAGATGCCGTAAAACGACTCGTCGAAAGGAACGAGATCATTCCTACCCTAAAGTGGTAAACGCAGCAAATTACCAATCAGATCCAATCGTACTCATCGATCGGTTAAGGAATCGGACAAAAGATCCACCAAGGGTAAAGGCCAAAATGTTGCACACAAAATGCCACCAGGTACTTTAGACCCTGACCGCTCCCAGCAACCTATACATAATTCAGTCGACAGTCGTCCCGCAGCCTGGTGGAACCAATCACATACACAGTGCACGCATATTCCACATGCGTGACTCTATTAGCTTAAGGTGCATACGATTCGTGGAAATTAGCTTCTCCACGGGTTGTCATTTATTATGTACCTATTTTTATTATTGAAGTTTTGGTAACAATTATCAGTTATTATTTGAAGCTTTATATAATATTTATGGATCAAACAAGCAAAATGTCTGCAATTCTTTTTTTTATTCTAGGTTTTTGTTTTATTTATAACCTTATCACAATGAGACAAACAAAAGCTCGTGTTGCCTAATTATTGACGCACCAATTCATATAATAAAATTGGTTTTATATTAAAAGAATAAAAACGGGCGAAACCTTTTTGGGCGTTAATACTAACAAACTTGTTTAAATTCAACATTGTTTTAGAAATTTCAAAATTCAACAAAAGTAAATTAAGCCGGAAGAAAATTCTGACAAAATTTAAGGTTGCCGTCGAAATCTTCTGAATTTTGCAAGTCCTAAAAGACAAATTGTATTGTTGATGAATTAAAAAATAAAGTAAAAACAAGGATACACCCTTGTTTTTATTTTCGTGTCGCGAATAAAATATTTTATTTAGTTTATGAAAGGTGTGATCTACTCCGCTACTTTAGCTTGTTGTATATGCCTAAATGAAAAACTTAGATTAACGAGTGTGGATTCACCTTGGTACAGATCTCCAAAGATCTAAAATTGTCTCGTCGATCTATGAATTACCTAATGAATAGCAACCGAGGCACAGGACAGTCGCAAATGCATCTACAGCTCGTGAGGATCAAGAGTTAAAGGGAAGAGAAATTTCTATAAAATAAGAATTTTCAAAGCACGCTGCAAAAATGTCAGTACAATTTTCAAACGTACATTGCCTTGAACTATTCGAAGAATAATAAAACTCAGATTTCGGGGAGAGGTTGTGACTCTTTAACAAGAACAGTAAAAATCAAGATTTCAGCCAAAATACTATGCTAATGTTGTGTGGGCGAACGAATTAAACTTTGAGGTGCATACGTTTCATGCATTAATAATTTCATAATAACCAAAGAATCTGGAATTATTTACCATTTTAATAAAATGGACCCGGATACCTCACTCACCAGACGAAACGCAGAAGTATAGTACTTCCACTTCACGCCGGTCCTCTGTGAAATTATGTTACTTCTCCGGACGGCCCTAGCCAGTCATGCAACAGCGAACTGTTGCGTGGTCCTAGCACACTTCTTCGCACTGCGCCATGGCACGGTAACAGCACAACGGTCGTGTGAGTGAACTCACCGAGGAAGTCCCGGCTCGCCGACAGCTTCTCGTCGAGCTTCGCCTTGACGCAGGGCTCGCAGGCCGAGTGCAGGCACTCCATCAGCTTGGGAGTGCCGTCCGCGTGGGCGAGCGGCACGCGGCAGAGCACGCAGCGCGCGGCGGCCGAGGCGCGGGGCGAGGCCAGCGAGTCCGCGCCGCCCGCCCCGCCCTCGCCCTCCGCCGCCGCGCTCCCCACCTGCCACCCCTACGTGCTTTAATATTACAATGCGCCACCTGCTCGACTGTGTTTTAAGCCAAGCAGCCTATATAGTGACAGTCTATACTTCACTGTGGAGTCACAAGACCTGGCCGCGACCGCGAACTCATCCCACTCACCCCGATGCAGGACCTCAGATAGACCTGAATGTAGTTGCGTTACACGGATTTAACATAACCGTTTTATTATTTTGTTACTAATATCTCCAGATCACTTGAATATCGCACTCATATTGTAAATTTTTTTTGTTTTTATTCACAAATCAGCAGCCTATTTTAATGACATATTTTGAAATGGACACAGATATCTTTTAAATATTTTCATTGAGTTATTTTTTTCTAATAAATATGTTTTCTTCCTATACAATTTCTATCCGTTAATCAATATGATTCACTTTTGTTAAGTTTTCTTTCAACCAGAATAACAAAGGCGAAACTTTAAAGATAAAGCTATCAAAATTAAAAACCTTTTCCCAACATAACTAGTACTGTTTAACAAGCTAGCTTGCTAACTATAGTTGTTTAATTAATGTAGGTGACATGATTAGTAATAGCTACTACTAATACATTAATTAAAACAACTATAAAAAATAATACTAGAAGCTATTTAGTAAGTAAAGCCAAATGTTGTTTCTCTAAGAGTAAAGGGATCATAATATTTAATAAAATATAGGCTATTCTTTATAATTTATATTATAACACTTTATGGTCAAGGTATAAAAACCTTTGACAATTTTTAAATTCATTCCCTTAGAATAAGTTGTAGATTCTTTGCATCTAGTGAAACATACACATTAAGTAGACAGCACAGCTGCATATAAGACTATACTTAAATATGATAGCAGGGGTTAATATAGCATAATATACAATGGAATAGCCTGTATGCATCCGTCTTTCGGTCCGAATACAACGTTGGCGTATTCAAGGCAAGACTAAATAGGTTTCTACTGAGCTAGCGCGCTTACCATCAACAGCTGCATCGCCACTTACCATCAGGTGGGATGGCCTAGTAATTATGAAGTTTGAATCAAATATGCTTAATTTAATTGTTATTTCTGTGACAGTGTGGCCAGTGACATAATTTTTCTCTTGTATTTCTTGCAATTAATAATAACTCTGAGTCCTTGTTACTAATGTTTGTAACTTGATAATGCCTATGAATTTTAGTATTGATGAGCCACTACTGTAGATCATTTTTATAAAGTTAGCAAAAATCTTCCAATCATAATATTAAGGTTCTGGATTAAGAGGAAGAGGCAAACTTACTGATCACTGCCATGGAAGTGACATCCATGCATAAAAAACCTTTACAAGTGACAAGATGAAGAAAACATATAAAAAATTTACAAAAAAAATCCATAAAGAGTAATTAGAAATAATCTCTACGGGACTTCATCACTGACAACATAATTAGTTATTTAAATTTCAATTGGTGCCACACTAGTCTTACTGATGAAAAGAGCCTCTAAGCATCTTGACATGAGATACTACACTTGTGGAGAATAAGCTAAACAAGGTATTTGTTTTTTCGAGGATCTTTATCCCAACATGTGATTGATGCAAGTGGCGAATCTAAAATAATTCCAAATTCACTACAATTTTGCCAATACACATTTTCAAATTCCATCCATTAGAATATCTCTCAATATGGCGTGCCTCCTGGCATAGGCCTCCTCCAGCTCCATCCTCTGCTACTCTGGTCCAGTATGGCGGACTCTCTTGTCACCCAGTATATTCTCTTGGGTACTATAAGATTACTTGTTTGCTCTACTTGTGTAATTTGGAAAATAGCATTTGTCCTATCCAACCCAACTTTGGTGCAATGCTCAATATGGGTTATTTTAGTTTTCGTTATTATCATTAAATTTGATTCCCAAAATGCTCCTTTCCATTGCCCCTTGTGTACTAGCAAGTTTTTCATTATACTTAACCAAAACCCAAACTCAAAATACCTTTATTCTAATAGACGCTTGCGTGTTCTTATGAAACGTCCACTTTTACATAAAAATTGATACATAAGTTGATAAGTTACTACCGGATCCGAAAGTAGTTTCTGTTGAGAAGAGACCGGCAAGAATCTCAACAGTTGCTCTTTAATAAAAACATCAGTTTACGTTATAACATGGACAGGTATAATAGTCCTATTTTAGCCTATGTGAGTATCAAGACTATTAATTCCACACATTGGCGTCGTCAAGATATTCCCCAATTGTATGATATGCTTAACAATTAGTTTACTTCCAATTTTGCGTTTAAATTGATTGAGTGGCGGACTTACTATCAACTGGGATTTTATTATACATGCACACACTGCCCCCATGAACAACCTATTTACTTTTTGCAGACTAAACAATGACGTAATTAGTTTGTCTTTATTTCTAGTGTTTAATTTATATCTGTCACTATTCTTTAACTTATAAATAAGATAATCGAACATACAAAATACTACAATAAATGTATTAAGAAGCAGTTACACCCACAATTCACAGCCTTAAGGCCCATTTACACGATGCCATTTTCTTGAACATACAAGAGCAATAATTGAATGCAATAAATTGCGCGCAATAATTGTTTAGACCATTTGTTGTTTAGACCATGCAACTCACTTATTGCTTCAATTTAATTGTATACAACAGGCAAGAAACTGGCATCATGTAAATGGGCCTTTATGTCATGATTCAAGTATTAAAAGTTGTTCTCTTAATGTGCATGCTTAGATCTTTGTTCTTCATTATTTCTCTTAGAGACCAGTCTTCCAACCACAGGCTATTTTTTATTCTTTCTTTGAAAATTGAGTCCAAGTGACATAATGTGTCTCCCATGGAATATATACCTACATAATATTCAAATTTTACATATTCTATCATGTCCGACTTCTATGAAGTTGATTTGTTTGTTTTATTTTCATTCATTTCTAATCATACATCTCTGCTTTTTATCTGCTATGGGTTTCAGCAATTTCAGATTGTTAAGATGACTACCATTAATGCTGTTACAGTAGGTTTCCCAATCTAATCTTCTAAATATGTACTCCAGCACAGCAATGAACATTTTAGGGGAGAGCGAACTCCTTGTCTCACACCTCTGTTTATAGGAAATAGTTCTCCTTTTTTTTTTCCAATTTGATGGTGAATAAAAACTCATTTGTAATTAATAATTCTCTACATCTTCTTATCATTATTAATTGACCTGTTTCACATAGCCTGTTGCAATTATACATCCAACATTTAAAAAGAAATGTTGACAGAACTGCTAAATGCGTTGATGAAAGTAAGTGTTGTTGGCTTTAAGGTGACAAACAACAAAAAAAATTTTACCCAATTATAAATTAATCACATACAATTAATTTGAAATAATTGTGAAAAATATCTGATACTATAATTACCAAAATATATATCCATCACTTTTTATCGCACATGTCAAGTTAACATTGGAAAAGTTTTAATACAAAAAGTAAATTTGAGAAACAACAAGAAATAACTCTAATAAAATGCTGCTTAAAGTAGACCGGGTAGTTAAAATCACCTGGTTCAAATTCTTGTAGCATGCAAAAGATTTCCAACAGGCGAATTAATTAGCCTTGCCTTTTTAAAAATGTCCACATGAAATATAGCCATTATACATAAAGTAAGAACACTTAACTAATAACAAATAAGTTTGTCTTTAATAAAATGTTAAGTACTAATACTAAGTGAAGTGCTGATAACTAAGTAATTAATTAGACTAAAAGAAAATGAACTACATTTCAAATCAAATCAATTTTAGAAGTTAGTCTAAAACATTTATTTTTAAGAGATAGATTGGACATACATTTTGATTGGGAGCCGGAGCAACAGCGGGTCCGACTGCACCATCAGGCAGCTCATCAGGTGCTTCTTCTTTGATAGTGACACCGAGCAGCGGCCCAAGGTCCATGAGCGCTCGCTCTATGTCCTCGCCACTCGGTTGAAAGGCAGCGTTCTCCATTGGAACGTCGCGAAACCCTTCCTTATTTGACCTTGCACATATTTCCACTACATCTGAGGGAAAAGTTGTATCCAGAACTTTCACTCGCGAACCTCTTCTGTCGCGCACGTCAACATAATTGAACACTTAAGATGAGCCACTCGAAAGCGTCTTTTAAATATACTGCCCGTTAAATAACTTAATATAGTCATAAATATTTTTTTGGTCTAATTTTGTACTCATTTCAATGATCATATTAAAATTACACGTAATTTTAATCGACACAATTTAAGTTTTTTGTAACACAAAATATTAACGTGCGTCCTAAGCGAGACCGACACCATCAAAGTACCAGGTCCATTTCATAGACAATCTAGACTCTAGTAGACTACACTTTGTTTGAAAAATATGGATTAACCATTAAATTCTAAAGCCAAACCAAAATTAAAAAAAAATTTAACATTCTTTAGTTTTATGAAACGAAGTAAAACTTTTTTCGGATCGTAGGTATTTAACTGAATTTCAGTTAAATAATTATAGAATAAATAATAATTAAAATTTAACATAAATGCTACATGGGTAGTTGATGCGAGCCATATTGGCCTTGGTTGCTCTGCTGAGCGCCTTTTACCTTATCATTACTCCGCGGTCAGTTGTAATGCGACAAGCTATAGATGGATGAAAAAATTTGAGGTGATGGAAAATAGTTTCACATTAATAATACACAGTTACAAAATTTCTTGTTGATATTTAAGGGTAAAACGGGACCCTATTAATAAGACTCCGCTGTCTGTCTTGTATCTTGTATTAACTGATGTTTTTGCTTTCAGTCCCGAGATTATTAAAGCTTCATCTGACGCAGAACCGGTGGGCTAGCCAGAACCCACGGGTTTAGGCCCTCCGCTGTGGGTAGGGCCACGCATGTGCTCATGCGTGCGTTTAACTATGGTGTGTCATCTAAGGGCCATCCAGGTCGCGGTTCGGACCGAAACCACGATGGCCGTCGACTGTGCAATTAGTGTCTGGGAGCAGTAAGAACCGCCCCGGAACGCGGGTGTGAACGCACGTTCGCGTTTGTGTCGGGTTAGTAATTTGCTGCGCTTACCACCAGAGGTTTGGGATGATCTTCGACTCTATCGAAGAACCATTTGGTTAGGTCTTTAAAATATTCGCGAATCGTCGGGAGTCTGCAATCGCTGTGCAGGTCGAAATTGCGTTAATGCCACTGCGCACCGATTGCGTGGCGGATGAACTTATTTTCAACTAGTTACAACTTGTACAAGCGAGTAGGGTGCGTGTGGGCGAAGGTTAAGCATGCGTAGGACATAATAGATCATACGCAGGTCTTATATAATAATAATTTGTGCCTCAAGGGCATTTTACTTTTATCGTTAGTTAAATTGTGTGGCCGGAGACGAACGCGGCTCTATTACGAACGTTATTAATTGCATAGTAAATGACATACGCGAGTCGAAATTGTAAGTATTTGGAGTCACTTTCGATAAAAAAAAAATCAACTTCATTTGCGAAAGATGGAGTAAAACCGATAATTGAGCTGTTTGCCTCTACGTAATTGCACTGTCGGATCCTACCGTATTATATTGTGTGGAGGATACATTATAACTTTTGGTAATAATTTTGTTTTGGTATAATTTTTTTTTGTTTATTACGGATAAAGAAGATGTTTTATTACGGAAAAATTACCAAGCTTATTATATTTTGTTTTTATTTTATTTTATTTTTGTTGGTTCGAACTGGCTTTGAGCTTAACGCAAATCTTACAAGGCGTCCACAGAAAACTAATGCTATAGTATTTTCTGCAGCGGCTATATACTGAGCGGAGACTTTTTTGGTGCATACATTTTTACAATCGTAATGTTATTCTTGATCTTTATTTTTCTCCTGTAATGTAATGCGCCGAATAAGTATTTCTTTCTTTTTTCTATATAGTAAGACAATTGAAATTTTCACAGATAATGTATTTCTGCTGTCGAATAAAAATAAAAAAAATATTTATATGGGGCTCCCATACAACAGATGTGTTTTTTTGCCGTTTTTTAGATAATAGTACGGAACCCTACGTAAGGGAATCCGACAATTAAGTGTATTTCGGTACCTATTTCTGTTACTTAACGCTATTTTTAGATTATAGGTTAAAAGTAAATAGTAGTAGTAGTTCTGCAGGGGTTTCATGGGTAATCTATCCACGGATCTCCATACTATCTACATCTTACAAACAATGGGGATAATAAATTTAGAATGAAATATATTTTGTAAGAATTTTCAGCTATAAATAAAATTGCAGTGACGATACCGTAAACCCCGCCATGGGTCAATAAAGTTTTGTCTTTGACTCTAAGCTCCTATTCAGCCAACACGTGGCACGGTTCAGGAACCGGGCGGCCTTCTATTAAACAAGACGTCAAAATATTCTTCAGTACAAGGTGACTTTATCCAAGGCAGTAGTTTACCCTATCATGACTTTCAACGAGTCCAGTTTTCACACCAAAATGATGCTCCGAAACAAATCCACCGGATTCAGCTCGTTCAGAATCGATTCTTGCGCAGAGCCACGGGAGTACCGTGATTTATGCACAACATCGACCTACACATAGATTTAGAGCTGCCCACAATCACCCAATTCCTGAAGTCAGCGTCGCGCCGCTACTTCAAATCCGCATACCAACCCGTTAGTTACTCACAGACCCCCATCGCTAGGTACGTTCCGCGACACTCCTCGATTTTCCTGACGATGAGACGACAATTGCCATGCACATGATAAAACACTTCCATAAACACAACCGAACACACCGCACTCGCCGGCGAGTCCAGCACACACGTACTAAGTTCTGCCACGTACCTGGCAGGTTTTCACCCGTTAATGATAGAAGCGTTACTGGAATTTTTTCCGCCACTTCTTCTCCCAGCGCCAACGCTTTCCAAAGTGGTAGTAATGATAGCTTTAGAAATTCTCCCAGTCAGACTATAACTACCGATCGAGCCGAGGACCGGCCCTCTCGCGCACCCTCGTATCGGAATGCTAAACGGGTATTCAGTGACAACTCAAGCCGAGGTCCCCTTTCGGGGGCCTTTGAGCCTAGTCACTCCATGGAGCGTCCGTCAAAGCGCCCTAAGAGTTTGGTGGCCTCCCAAACCTCTGAGAATAATAATAACAACGTGACGGCTCGAGCTGAGGCTCCTCTGGCTTATTCACCATTATGCGTCACCGAGGTTCAGGCTAGGCACCCCGAGCGCCCAACTACCTCAAGTCTGGTGGTTCTGTAAAGACCTCTATTATTCTTCGATATAGGATTCACTATCGATTACGGTCCAAGACAGGCTTTAAACTATCTCGTCCCTTGAATCCTGCCATGCCACCATTGTTAAAGAATTCCGTATTTCGTTAACAGAGTTCGTGAAGATGCCGTAGAACGGAAGGCGTCAATGTGTCGTCTTCTTGCACCAGTTTCGTGGTTCTTCATGAATCAGTGGGTAATCGAATCGCGAACTTCTTCTGAAGAAGCTATCAAAGAGAACGGGCTAACAATAAGGTATTTCATCATCATCATTATTTCAGTCTTTTAGTCTTCTGCTGAACCATAATTATAATACTGAAATAGTTGAATAAGTTGTAGGAGAGGCATAGGCCTTTCTATTAACGTAATGTACGCCTGCTCGTTTGACAGTTTTTACATAGAAAATTATAAATATACTACATAATAAACCTAAAAAAATACGCAATGATAAATTCCATAATATATAATTAAGTTTGCAACATACATTTTTACCTACCTGATTTTGTCGTTTTGGGGTTTTGCGTAATACGTGCGTTGTGCATTTGACATTTATGTGACAACGCCGTGAAGTGACAACAGCAACACGTACACGTCAAAGTCTCGAAAATGGCTGACTCGGGACCTAGTAAAAGCGATATTGAAGCGGTTTTTCAGAGGTTACGAGCAATCCCTTCAAATAAAGTGCGTATTTATTGGTGAATAATACACATACATTTAATAATTTTATCACTATCCACATCTTTGTATATCTGCAGGTATGTTTCGATTGCAACGCCAAAAATCCTACGTGGTCATCAGTGACGTATGGTGTGTTCATCTGCTTGGATTGCTCAGCCGTGCATCGAAGTTTGGGAGTGCATCTGACCTTCGTACGTTCCACTCAGCTCGACACAAACTGGACATGGAAACAGCTGAGGAATATGCAGCTTGGCGGGAACGTGAATGCGGTATAGACACTTATCTGCTATTGCTGTCCTGATAAAAATGTTGCAGTATAATTGAACAAAAAATAATACACATTATAGTAAAATAAATAATGTTGTCACATTCATTATTTTTATGTATCATAATATACTAAACATAACTTAATACAACAAATGTACATTTGATTTCCAGACACAATATTTTCGCACCCAAGGTTTGGTGACTGAAGATGCTCGACAAAAATACAGCTCCCGTGTTGCTCAAATGTACAGGGATAAATTAAATGCTTTATCGGAGCAGGCAATGAAAACATATGGTACTAAGGTATGTATACTAGCAATGATTCTTTTACTGATTGTCAACAATTTTTTCATTATGAATATTAAGTAGGTATGTAATATTTCATTTGGTTATGATATCATATTTCTTCACTAGTCCTACTGGCTTAGCATTCTTGCAGATGAATGGATATGTATCTAATTGCTACCCACAGTATTATCTCTTGGACAAAGATTATTTTTTATGCGAAAAGTTGCCAAATGAGCAGAAGGGTCACCTGATGTTAAGTGAATACCGCCACCCATGGACCCGAGGTTTACAGATTTTTACAGGTTGTAGTACTTACCCGGATGGGCCTGCAATAATTTGTTCAGTAATTTTAAACCTTATTAAGTTAAGACAGAGACAGTGGGAGGACTTTGTTTTATAATGTGTATTGATTAGTCAAATACTTTCATCAAAGAAACTGTACCCTTGTAGTTTTTTTATTCCAGTTTAAATAATGCAAGCAAGATCATTTAATTTTGAAACCAAGTGACAACAATTTCTATAATACCCAGTATTTTATATGATTACTTATCATCTGTTACTTCTTTCAATACATAAATTAAGAAATCAAAATTTGTATTGTAGTGTTAAGTTTTACATCATTAATATTTTTGTGGATGAATAGTAAAATTAATATTGTAATGTTTTTATATTAATTACAATTTTATAAACTTAACAGTTTAGTTAATAACATTGAATTTACTGTATTTTTAAATGAAATGGTCAATTAAACCATTTCATTTAAAAACTTTTAAATTGCTGAACTGAGTTTCATTTCTGGCCAACTTGGTAAGACCTCAGATCTACTGAAATCCTATGTGATCTATCAATTACATGGTTCTTGAGATTTTAAATGAAGTAGTATACACTTGTACATATATTTTTTTTTAAAAGGGAAAACAAAATTTGAAATCATTCTAAGTACTTATTTAAAATGTGTAGGTTTATTTAAATTGTGGAGAAATAATAATTTTTGTAGCTGCTAGGATTTCATACCTTCTGAATTCTAGATCTTCCAGACAATCTAGCTATTTCTTTTTTACATATTAATCAAAATCATACAAAAGTAATATTAAGCTTATATGTTTTCTGCCTTTCCATGTTCCACTGGATATTAAACAATCAACTAGTTGGCCATCCCTTATATCAAGCATTTTCAACTTGATCAACTCATGCTTTTGAAAAATACAGCTATTTACATGTCATTGTAATAGATATAGCTGTTTTCTTATATTACATATATGTTTTACTAGCTTCACCTAGACCCTGCACCTGCCGAGGCTAAAGAAAAGGAAAAGGAACCAGAGCGTGAGGTAGACTGGTTCGCCCTGCATGGTGATGCCTCCAACACTAACACTAACCAGTCTAGCCTAAATGCACAGGTAACAGAGCCATAATAAAAACTGCTACACACCGACTGTGGCAGGCACATGTCACTGCTCATATATTTTGTTAATATTAATAATATTATGGTTTTCACTGACACAATTTTGTTTTAGTTCATTATTGATAAAATGTTTTTTTCATTGAGATATGTTTGTACTTACATTTATCAATGTACATATTATAAACAATCAATTTTTGTATTACAAATATGAAGGAAATATTGTTTTCGTATTTAATTCATATTTAATACATTGTTGGTCTTCTAGCTTTATTTTTGCTCGAGTGTTTTTCATATTTTTCTTTGTCTTTGGAAAATTTGTATTGTAAGTTTTGTGTGTTTTTAATTAATTGTTTATCACGAATTTATTAATAATAACATTAACTTTCAAACTTATAATATTTAGTTGAAGCCAGATACTGTGTCTATAGAAGTGTTCATACTTTCTGTAACTGGTGTCTATGTGATCTAGGATTTCTCTTGTCAATTCAGAGATTGTTTTGCTGCATGTCCACTTTTGTTAATTGGTTGACTATCGATAGGCGGCAGCAGCGGGCGGTGGCAACCTCAGCTCAGAAGCGCGACTATGGGGTTCCGGCTCACCCGCCTATAAGAGCAGCCAGCCGGCTGCGCGTCGTCCTGGGGTAAATTTTTGTTATCCAATATTATAAATGAAATATGGGTTAGGATTAATGCTTAATAAACAAAAATTTGAATCGCCCTACAGCTGGGCGGTCGCAAAGGCGGTCTGGGCGCAACCAAAGTGGCGACCAATTTTGAGGACATCGAGCGTGAAGCAAAGATGGCGGAGAAACTGAAAATAGAGGTGGTATGGTTCAACGATGGCTCAAGTAGCAAGTCACTCTAGACGGGGTAGAAATAATCTGTACGTGTTGTGAATCGCAGGCCGCCGAGGGTTCGCGCGCCGCCACGCTGGAGTGCGTGGAGCGCGAGATGTCGCGGCTGAGCTACGGCCACGGCCCGTCCCCGGCCGCCGCCCGCTCCGACCGGCCCGACCGCCACCGCCTCGGCATCGCCGGCGCCGCAGCGCCCTCTGCGCGCAACAAGCCTCACGGGTCAGTCTCAAACTGCTCTAGTATCGCTATAAACCTTAATCTCCCACTGTCTCTGGTAGATATACCGTCCTAGTCCCGTAAACCAATCCAATCAAGAGTCTAATCATTTTTTTTTTCATTTTAATTTTTTTGATTTGAAAATAAATTTAATCCTATTACATGTGTTACAGTGGCGTTTCGCACTCAGCGATGTCGGACATGACAACCATAGAGCAAGAGGACGCGCCCACCGGTCGGTCCTCGTCGCCCACCTCTCGCTCGCATCTAGACGACCTGGACGACTTCAACTCCGTCTTCACCATGATCAGGTGCTGTGCTCTTCGCTCGTTGCTTCTTCCCCTGCAATAATTTTCGCTTTGGATTTTAATTCAATACACTCGAGTAACCCGAGTCCGATCGGTGCCGGCACCAATGGAATTGTTAATTTTAATGCCGACATCACATGCTCAACAGTTTTTCGAAATAATAACAGAAAAAAAATTATTTCAATGATAATGTGAAGTCGGATTATGCCTAACATCCTTCGTAATGAGGAGGTCTCTGCCCAGTAGCGGTACATTTATGTAGGCTGTTGCTTCATTCCTTGGGCGTGTCGCGTCTGTGCAGGAACGAGCCGTACGGCGGCGGCAGCAGGCCGGCGGAGGGCGATGGCGGCTGGGAGCGCATCGAGCCGGAGCCGCAGCGCGCCGTGCGCACCATGTTCGAGGCGGAGGCCAGGCCGGCGCCCGCCCCCGCCCCCGCCCCCGCCCCCGCGAGGGGCGGCGCCGCCGCCCGCCGCGCCCAGCCCGACGCGGACGACGACTCGGCCGTCAAGAAGTTCGGCGCCGCCAAGTCCATCAGCTCGGCGCAGTTCTTCGGCGAAGTCGTGAGTGCTTCGCCCGCGAGATGTCGGCTCCCAATGTCGAAAACTCAGTCCTTCTCTAAACTTAGCTTTAAATTGATTTCCGAATTCGCATTTCAATTAAAATATCTATTTCAATTCATTTAAAAAGCAGTTTTATTGTTAATGGAATGTTTTATTTTTACTCAGTTTTAATTTTCTCTTACTCAAACACTACAATAGCTGTGGCCTTATTTGAACTTGTAATTGGCACAACAATAGAAAGACTCTTCAAGTTGTGAATGTTTTGTTATAAAATTTCTGCATGTAGTTCTTCTGCACCACAGGATATTCTTACTCATTAGTACATTTTCTACTTACCGTGTTTTTTATTGACTATTAACAGGTTAAAGAAAAACTTACAAAAAAAAAAAGGTTATTATAAAATAAATACATAATTGATAGTAACCTGGCAATGTGATGTTCACTCCTATGCCATTGCTAAATGTAAAAAAAATGTACTGTGTAACAATCTAACAGTTGTACTATTGAAAAAATAGAGTGAGCATTTATTATAGAAGAAATCGTTGGTTCTCTTGCAAATATGGAAAATAATGATGTGAATATGTGGTTTAGGACTCGCGGTGGGAGCGCGACGCCAACCTGTCCCGCTTCCAGGGCAGCTCGAGCATCTCTTCGGCGGAGTACTTCGGCGACGAGCGGCCCCAGCGCCAGCCCGCCTTCACGGTCTCCGCGCCCAACCTGGACGAGGTTCTATATTCCGATATTTGTTCTTTCTCTTTGGTAAACAATGTTGCAATTACCTTCGGTGGTCGGGCCACTCAGCAGCCTCGGCTGTTGACCGAATGGGCAGGCCAGTTCGGGTAAGCACCACGACCTCACAGAAGACCAGCGTAAAGTGGAAGTATGACAATAAGTATGAAATACTTTTACATTTCGTCTGGTGAGTGAGTAGCCGGAGCCCAATTTTCAAAAGATTGTCAACGCATCTGTAACCCTCGGGTGTGGCAGATGTCCATGGGCGGCGGTATTCACTTAACATCAGGTGAACCGTGTGCTCGTTTGACAACTTTTCACATAAAAAAAAAAAACAGGAGTATACAATAAAAGAATAGTTCGTGATTTTCGTGATCCTCTTGAGATTATTCCTGAGGATATCGGACTCGCTCACGAAGGGTTCCGTACTATTATCTATAAATAAGGCAAAAACATCAGGTCTGTTGAATGAGAGCCCCATTTAAATATTTTTTTTAGTATTTGTTGTTGAAGCGGCAACAAAAAATCATCAACTGAAAATTTCAATTGTCTAACCATCACCATTTCATGTTCATGAAATACAGCCTGGTGACTGACAGACTGACAGTTACACGGAGAGACAGTGAAGTCTTAGAAATAGGGTCCCGTTTTACCATTTGGGTATGGAACCCTAAAAAAGAGACATCCAAATTAAAACGCGATAAAATCCGTAAACCACTTTCAAAATTCCTAATTGCTTTAGATAATATTTGAGAGCTAATGCGGCCTTTTACAGCCTTGGGTTCCTGTTATCAATAATATTTATTTGAGATCAGACGCACAATCACTACAAGATTTCAACACAGTTTTTAAAGTCACGGTAGCTCAGGCTAACATTGGACAATACCGTAAGTAAACAGTCAAAAGCCACATAAATCGGCCCTCGGATTGAACGGTTTGAGTGGCAGGTGCGCGAGTCGGTGCGCGCCGGCGTGACGCGCGTGGCCGGCCGCCTCTCCTCGCTGGCCAACGGAGTGGTCTCCTCCATCCACGAGCACTACGGCTACTGATGCACCGCCTCCGCTACACATAATTATATGCTACCTACGCTATACACTGTAAGCGGTATGACAATGTTTATCATAGACAAGGCGTTCTCGCTAGCCCAACACTGCGCAATGTTACGCAACGTTCTCTAAGCTAATAGCCTCCCTAGAAGTCAAATAGGTCTCTTATCGCATGCACCTATTCAATGTCGTAAATTCAACGGTAGTCACATCTGCTTGTATTGTTATTGAAATTTTAAATTACGTCAGGTGCAAAATGACCTTATTCCATTCCTATGGAAATAATTGTTTGATTAGTGATGGTTTTTCACGGCCATATTTAGTATGTATTGATTAATAAAGTATTTACACAATGGTGTAAGAAGTTGAATATATAGAGATGATAATTAGATTCAAACTCTCTTTAAAACTAAACGATTTTTTGCCAAGAGAGTTATAGTCTACTGTTTACTAATTTCTTCACTATTTTGGACTGCCTTTAAATTCTCTTAGATCTCTCTGTTTTTCTGAATACTTTTGTTTATATCAAATAACATTATATACCATTTTTTCATGGCAGTGTATATATTGTATTATATAAACATTTCATGTGTAAATGAGTTTAGTAATAGTAAATTAGCGGTTTCAAATTTTTATTTTGGTAATAGAAGTAAATAATGTTCTTCACTTATTACTTGTTACTTTTTTTTTTGTAAAGGTGGCGCCTATAGTTTTCTCTAGCTCAACTTTGCTTACATAAAGGGAGCTGCAAAAGCATTGCCAGCCTTTCGAAAAGGAATAGGTGCATTTCTTGAAGGTCTGTGGTATCAGTACGAAAATACCGTTACTAACAATTGACTCCACAAAGCATTTGTATGGCAGAAAGTATTTTATGAAGCATATGTGAATATCTCATATTGAAGTGGTGTTGGTTATATTCGGTGTTCTGTCAGTATGAGATATCAATCAGAACAACTGTGGGTTTTTTTCTTTAAAATGTATTAGTTTATGGTCAAAAATCCAAATGAAATAAGTATTATTCACTTATATGGAACTAGGTAAAGTTCTGAGTTCTTTTCCTTCCATTAAAGATATTCAAACTAATATGGCAATGATCCTTTTTTTTTTCTATTTGGATTATTATATTTCTCATATTTTGCTTAATGGCAATTTTTTTCTGCTGACAAAGTCCTTGGAGTACTTCTTTCAAATATTATTGTTATTGATTCATTATCTTAAAGAACGTCATTAAAAATAAATAAACATTTTTTTCTAATTTTATCAACTTTTTTTGTTTTCTTTAATAGATATTTTTTTTCTTCAATACCTTAGTATCGCAATACTTAGAAAAAATTATTTATATTTTGAAGAATCTAAAAGCACGACAATAGACACGAATGTAAAATTATGGGCTTTAAAATTTAGAACTTGTTTAAGGCATGAAGTTTTAGCGAAACGAAATCTTTCATTTTTCCATCCATAGGATTATTAGTTGATAGAATCAGAAGTAGCGAAAGTAGAAGGCAAATATCCTTATATGAACATAAATGTTATTATAATACGACATTGGAAACAGCTTGCGTCTAGACTTAAGCATTTACATTCATTTCTAGGAAATTTAGTTTTATTTATAGATGGTGACAGGTTTGATCTTTTCATATTGTAAGAGTTGTTACTTATCATTCTTGATTTATGTTGTTTTCATTTTAATTATAAGCAGTTACTTGGATTAATGATACAATTGTAACTAGATATCTATTATATACATGGTCTATTTATCCAAATTCACACTAATGCACTACAAAACTATTGCAACCTTTGCTCAATTGTTCCCCAATATATTGATCTGTTTGATAACTTCCAGTTTACCTTTATAGTTCAATTTGTATATTATCTTAATCATCATATTTTTTCAATTTTATATTTCGAATATTTCATACACCGTTTACGATTTTTATATCATTGAAAGACCTAAACCGTCGCCATTCCAAATGTATTGCGAACCACAGCTATGTGTAAATAAATATATGCCCATAAACTATTTGTATCCAACACTGAGCTGTATGATGTAAATATCAACGAAATGAGGTGTTGTGTACGTCATTTATGGTTGATATTATTGTCTTATATAAGTGCTAAAGAATTGTTAGCATTTTTTTTAACTTTCATTCAGAATTTTGTATAGAAATAATAGAACTTTGTTTTAGTTTTTAATTATTGATATAAATATACAAATATATTTCCATTAACAGTGTTTCTTTATTAACTTTAATTTACTACTTAACCTATTAAAATTATATTACTATGTCGGCTTGGTAGCGACAATGCAAACATTCTCCAATGACACAGTTTGAGGCACAAAGTAACACAAGCGTGCATTGAAGCCGCGTTTTTTCAGGAACAGTACTCTGCCCCAGTCCAACAGCGCCTTGGCGCGTCGTCCTATCAGCTCCTTATATTTTATGTCGAGTTTTAAGCTTTGCCTTGACGCATGGGCCGATGGCAGTTCTTTCTCGGCTGTACTTTCAGCATTGATAGGAGTAGATTCTTGTTGGCCATCAGGTCTACTCGCTGTGAAATTTTCTTGGTGTTCTATTCCTCTATGTTGGGGGGATTTAATATTATGGTCACGTATCCGAGCACGCCCGTCGCCGCAAGTAGCCCACGAAACAACGCCCAGCATTATATAGAACTCTTCGCTGTCGATACCTAACTCCTGAAAGGCATAAGGAATATACCCGATATTTATTTGGCACACCTAAGTGGTATCACACTTATAATTTTGCTCAGTTCTCAGATTACACACAAGAAAATAACATTAGGCAGTTAAAAAAATTGTGTAGTAGTGATTATAATTAGTAATGTAGTCTTAGGTGGGTTTACTCCCGCAGTAAATTAGTTAAAAACCTACACAGTCGTCTTGTAGATGTTCATATTATATTTGGACGGTTAAACTGGCGCCTTCAAATCTTTCCACTTTTTTGCTGTACATTCAAAAGCGTGAATGGATTGAAGGTTACCTGATGTTAATTGATTACCATCTCCCAGCTATACGTAGTGCTATAACAGGAATGAACAATAAAAGTGTAAAGTGCTAGGGAAAGTTTAAAGAGCTGAAGAAGTATAAGTGGAGGATTTTTGGAATAACGCCGCTTCATTCTCAACCCCGTAACACCTAGCTCATAACAATATTATATCATAATTACAGTTGAAGCAGACTGCTCTGCACCTGTTTTCCAAAGCGTCATAAGTCTCTTTGCGTATTTATATTCTATTGTTTGCTTACAGTGTCCAAAAATATGCTACACAATTTCGGATTTTTTATAAAAGTTGTTATCTTTTAGTTAAGCTTAGCTGCTTGGTAGGTACATCTTTGTTAAGTACTGGACTCAATGAGTCGCAATAAAATGTTGAGATTTTAGATTTTAACAGATATTACCTGTTAAAATCTAAAATCATAGCGGTCGCAGTGTTCTAACGTTTCATTCTGAAAATTATGACCTATAATATCCTTTACCATAAAAGTTATAATTATATAATGTACCACAATAAAGATTAAGAATATATGAATAATAAATATGTCAGATGTAAGATACAACCCACCTGGAGTTCTCCCACATATGCATTAATTTCACAGCGGTGATGACAGCATGTCGCAATCACAAGGCCTATTGTTTTGCTCTCTGGACCATTTACCGCGCAACGTATCGCGTAGTCTAGGGTTAACGAAAATAGAAATAAGTTCCAATGTTATAACTTAACCATATCAAGTCACAAAACATATACTTATCGATGAGTGCGCAAACCGGCGCGGTTGGTCACTAGACATTGAATTAGATAGCCGCTCTCGGTCGTGTTCGAGCCGAGCTAGCGTCATAACAGATGGAAGTGCCGTCGTGGCACGCACCGGTGGCGACGCCGCACAAGTGCTTGGCGAGGCCGACCACCGCTCGGCTGCGGCGCACGGCGGGCGCCCTGGGCAGCAGCAGGTGCGCCAGGTCGGCCCTGACGCGCTGCGCCAGCCCCGGCCGCGCGCGCAGCTTGTTGTCGCGCTTGTGCCGCAGCGAGGCGCGGTCCACCAGCAGCACGCGGCTGCCGTTGCCGCCATTGCCACCGTTGCCACCGTTGCCACCGTCGCCACCGTCGCCGCCGCCGCACCACGCCCGGCACGCGTACCACGACAGATGCCCTGCGACCGACCAGTAGACGGTTCTCTGCGGATATGGCAGGCAGGCTATCGCCCTCGTTGCTGTTTTAGATATTGGCTCAGGCTTTATTAAGTTGAATAGCCTGACAATGTTGGGTGCACATTCTTCAGATGACAAGGCTACCACCCCCTTCCTTGACCACTATGGCCTATTAAACTTTCTCTGTCCACCATCTTCGGGATAAAAATTATAACTATTATATTAAATAAATTAATATTATAAATTTAAAACTATAATAACCTCTTTTATTTCTTTATTCACAATAATCATATCTATCGGAATATTCATGGTTCAATAACAAATGTATATAACCTTTTTTGATGTGGAAACTTAGCAAGCAACCAGGAAGTTCACCTGATGTTAAAGGATTAGCATCATGAAGAATATTTACAACACTGGAATGGTTGTAGTTGCATTGCTGACTTTTTTTAAGTTACCGGAGCCCAGTTACTTCCTCATTCACAAGACAAACAACAAAAGTATAATATACCTCCCATTTGTAACAACAACAATGGCAAACAGTTTAAACTTACCTTTACCAGCACCTAATTCCACATAGCAATTTCCGTCGCGCACTAAACCTTCCTTCTCAACTAAATGTAAAATACTTGATGCCTGTCTGAGATGCCTCAAAGAACTTTCTGTTCGACCAGGAGTGTTGAACTCTTCTTCTATTGTTCCATGAATTGGTTGCTCAGGAATGATTTCAATGTTGCCATCAACAAGCTCTAAAAATAATTGAATTCAATAACTGTTGTGCATTGACTATGTTAAGGATATATCAGTGAAAGGTAGAAATTGACAAAGTTTGTTTGTTTTATAACATTGTGAGGGCATAACAAAGTATAAATGAAGACAAATTGCTTAAAAATTCTTATGCTACATTTAATAAATTGTATTATATAAGTGAAATAGTATGTAATATACCATGTTAATTATTAAAATTAAAATATTATTAACCTTACCACTATAGAAACTATTTATTTTTTCAATAACCTGCAGTATTTTCTCTGGAGCATATTCATTGAGAGATAGCCTTGTAGAAAGACCAAGCTCTGTTGGTGCATTTACATCCCTCTGAATATATTCAGGTTCCTCATGACTTCGGGCATTGCAGATGGAGAGATGTTTTTGCAATTTTCTTGCATAACATGTGCTGCAAGTAATAAGACGTGAGCATGTGGATTGAATGACATTAAGCCAATATTGCAATCAACATACATCTTTGATATTTCATTTAAAAAAAATTGGTAATAGATGAACAGCTAGTATCAGAATTGACATAAAATTATTTGAAAAAATCTATGTAATAGTGCTAAAATGCCACTTACTGTTTCGGATCATTTGGACATGGAATACGAATATTGTCCTGAAATGGATAATTTTAATGTAAGGTACCTCAGGCAGTAAAATTTTTTTCATTTTTCCAATAGTTTATTGATGAATTCCATTACAAGGTATTTGAGTTTACATATTTTTCAAATATTGCTGATGAGCAGTGGAAGCTAATTGAGAAAAGTGTTAATGTGGACTGTGCAAAAGTGTTAACATGCGCACATTTTAAATTTGGAGACAATTTGTATACTTAACAAGTGAGCGATAAATGTTTTGGATATATGTCTCTGTTTTTGAGGGCTCCGTGGCGTAGTTGGCTTCAGTGTTGGGGGTCTTGGGTTCGATTCCTACACGGTACAACTATTTGTGTGACCCACAGATGGATGTTTCGTATCTGGGTGTTTGTCCGCGTAAAATGTATGTTTGTAAAATGACCTTACAACACAGGACAATGTTATCCCAAAGCAAGGGCAAGTTTAAAAAAAATGTAATAACATTTTTATTATTATTATATCTCTGCTGAAGAGCAATTGATCTGCTCACTTTATTTTAAACTATATTTGGCGATATGGGTCACTTCCCTCTATTACATAGGTCACTGAACAAGTGATGAATGTCAAAAGACGCACCTTTCAATTTGCTTGGAGTGAGACATAAAAATAGAGTACTCGTGGGAAAGGAAGAGACGAACAATATAAGGTACATGATTGCATATTATAATATCATCTAAAATCATTTATAAGATACTGATGTACATAATGTTAATACTAGGAACAAACACACATGCGTAAAGCCAGTTGCTAGACTCCATAGAGAAAAAAACCACAATTTTACATATACAACATATGACTGAAGTTCATACTTGACCGTCTTCTTCAGTCATGCCTTGAGGTTCATGTTCACCACAATATTGGCGTCCAGATCGTACTGTCATTCGACAAAGGCGTTTCTTTCGTACAACGTAAAACTGACATTGTGGCTCTACAAGTTTTTCCATTTTGTTATTTTGTAACTTTTTAGAATTGTTACGTTACTTCTTCTTCCTTATATTACTTATATTAATGGGTTCCTTTCCATTATTGTTAGGTTATGATTATGTTTACATTCAATTTTTATTTTTTATGATTTTTTTCCTGAAAATGTTACCATTACCAAGTATACAATACAAAGTGACTCTATGAATGTTGCCAGTCATTCGTTTTGGGTACTCATCTAGTGTGGCAAGGGCAGAAGATTGTACGAATAAAAATATTTTTTTATACATTAAAATAAAAGATACTTTGCTAAATATAAATATACAATAAAATTTATTAAATAGAACGCTTGGGTATGGCAATCAAGGGGCCCATTCATTATCTTGTCTGGCAGTCCACTTTGCCATCCGCCGCACGCATTATTGCAGCCTGCATGGCTGCATGGTGTCAAGCAACACCGAGTAGGATTCAACGTGCATCCTGCAAGAAATTACAAGTTCCGCCTACCGCTCACAGTTCGGAACCGGTCAAAGCGTGCTACACTTAAAAGAATCGTATAACAATAGCAACTAATGAAATGAACTGGCAACTTTTAATACATGAACGTCAAAAATCAAAGAATTTTAGGTTAGACATAGCATCATTTTGTTTCGTATTGTTTATGTCTCGTATTATGTAGTATTGGAATGAAAAAATGAGTTCACCAAGTAAAGAGACTGAAGAACCATCGTCCACTAGCCCAACAGAAAAACATGAAGCTGGTGGAAGCGGCTGTGCGAGTGCATCAGCGGCTCATGGAAGACCGCCCGCCAAGCGCCGTCTTTCTAGCACTGTTATCGAAATTTCAGATACGGAAAGTGACGATTCGGATGTTTGTGCAGTGAAGTCATACCAAGCTTCTGCAGATGAAGTGAAAAGAATACGCGGTAGTAAGTCACTTACTTCATTAATATTATTTGTTATCGGTCTCGTACCGAATGGTTTGCGCGGGAACTTTAAAACAATTTTTTTTGTTTATTCATCCTTGTAACGAATAAGAATGTTTTAGGCTGTATTTTTATTGTTGTGGGGATTTGTAATTTACGAATAATATTGTGTTTTATTAATTGAATTAATTGAAGCCTAAACGCTTGTTGAACCCAACCTATATTTTATACCATATGGTTGTTTCATATAGGAAATCTAGGAATAAGAATCTTATTGCTATATCCACTTGTGGCACTAGGGTTTTACATGTGATGTTGTCAAAACTAAAGGTGACCTTTTTTACATAGCATGCTATATCAGACAATCCTTTATGACATCATGAATCAAAGAAAATCTAAAAGAAGAAAATTTATTTCCACATGGTACAGGTGATTCAACAAAAATGTTTTTTATAATGCATGGCTGCTATAGGCCAAAAATAATGGATTTTTTCTGATGATTTTCTTTCGATGAATAAATGATATGATTTGAAAATAATAGCAGCCCCCCTATGGGGCATCACTGTGTAGGACCGGAGACCCACTACATGGAATGACAAGCTAAGCAAATGTGTGGGAAATTAATGGATATCAATATTATCTATATAAGAGTATATTTACTAGTAAAACAATTCTATAATTATTTTACAGCTGAATACTCCTCATCATCATCATCATCAGATTACAGTTCAGATTCGGAGTCACCTTGGGAGGATGACTCCTTCTTAATAGAAGATAAAATGCAAAGCAAAGTTGTGAAGACACAACTTAACCCAAGAGCACATAGAATGGATGACCCTAAGTTCAATCCAGCATTAAAGGTGTAGTATTATTATTTTATCATCACTTATATATCTCCAGTTTGTTAACATAAATATTGCATGCAGTGAATCATTTTAAAAAATCATTTTAGAGATATTGTAATGATACTTATTATAAATTTGTATGATTTTTTATTAACAGTTAATAAACTTTTATATATTTCCAGTCTCAAGAAATAAAAACCAAAGTAGGAAACCACTGGTCAGAAAAGAGAGATTATTCAAGTGATGGAATCACTTTTACTTGTGAACCATTCCGTCTGTGTTTGTTGCACAATCTGCTTGTCAATTCCGAGATCATTAACAACATCGTAGATGATATGAATACACTGGACTGGTCTAGGAAGAAGATGGATCTATATGAGTTCCATCAAACCACGGACCTTGCAAATTTGACATGGCAAAGGAGCATTAGAGGAATTTATGAGTTACTGAAGACTGAAGTTATGAGTTGGGTCAGTGTAAATAATGGTTTCTTATTGATTTGGCCTTAGTCTCCATTTTACCCAATGAATGATTGCCTTGGTAAATGTACCATTTCAGAAATAACATAATCACTTTTGCTTCCAATCACAATATAGGCTGAAAATTATTCCACTACCTTGTGAACTTCTCAGTTTGAATGTGAAGAATATTTATATATGAGAAATGTCTATTTCAATTCTATGGATTTAAAAAGTAAAAAAACCTCCATTTAATGAATAGGTGTCAGAGGTAACGGGGCTGCAGCTGACGTCTGTGTCTGCGTCGTGCTCGCTGTACGGGCCCGGCGACCACCTGCTGGTGCACGACGACCTGCTCGCCGACCGCCGCGTGGCCTTCATCCTCTACCTGGCGCCCACCGTCACCCCCACGGCCCACGCCCACGCCCACGCACCCGCACCCGACCCGGACGTGCTCAACGGCGACCGTCCGGTAATTGAAACCTCGCTTCATATGTCATATGTGTGGTATATTTGGAAAAAATTTATGTTTTATTGATAAATTTATAAATTATCATTGTGGGTTCTTCTTTGATGTTAAGCAGAGTCAAATGAGCGTGAGTTTATTTCACTTCAATTGAATATTTAAAAGTAGTTCCATGTAATTTCCGTCTGTGCACAGCAGCAGAATACGGTTGGAGCGTGGCACGGCTGGGAGGAGCGGATGGGCGGGGCCCTGGAGCTGCTGTCGCGCGACGATCAGGGCCGCGCGGCGAGTGTAGTGCACCGCGTCTACCCGCGCAACAACATGCTGGCCTTCTTCAAAGTGGGACACGACTCTTTCCACCAGGTCCCTGAAATATAATAATACTTACCTGTATCAAAAAATATCAATGAACTTTGAAAGACAATACATTATTATTATTAGTATCTATTGGAATTTAATTGAAATAATTCTTAAATGTTTCGAGTAGAATCGAGACTTAAATCGCTGTCTCCTTTCCGGCTTTTAACTTCTCGCGCGTCTTTGTGGGTATGTGCAACATTAGCGATGTATGAGCTGTACCGCAGGTGAGCGAGGTGGTGTCGCTGGAACTGCCGCGGCTGTCGATCAACGGCTGGTTCCACGGGCCCGAGCCGGCCCCCGCGCCGAATGCGCCGCCCTCGCCGCCGCCGCCGCCCGCCCCCGCGCCGCCGCCCGCGCTGCCGCCTCACTCCGACGTCGTGAGTGACGTACTTTCTAGTTATAGGCTCTTTTGAACCACCATTAGGAACGATGCTGTCTTACACAATCGTCCTACAGAGTGTGATGTGCTCCTGTGCAGTTCAATTGTAAAGTACACATGTTTACCAGGGGTGTTTTGTGAAAAATAATCCCAAAAAACTTTGGCCTCCCAATTAAAAAAGCTATCTTTTAAATGAAAGTATTTATATGAATACAATTGATGAGCAGGTTTTGCTGAACCAATGGGTAGACGCGCCGTACATGTCGCCGCGCATCAGGGCTCAGGTTCAGACGCAGATGGAGAGCGCCAGCGAGGTGTGCCTCCGTGACCTGCTACTCCCGAATCGATACCAGGAGCTATTGGACGCGCTAGATAGCCCAGGTACGTTCATCTTCGCCCGCCTTAGGCATTTTATGAAGATTAAATTGTGATTGTTATTGAGGGAGGCCAGCCCTGACCCAACCTGGCACTTGATTTGTTAAATTTTTTACATTTCCATATTTTTATTCATTTTAAATGTTAAATTTTATCTCACTATGTATTGAAAAAGTATCCATTAACTATAGTTACATCGATATACCATGTAGCTATAGAAGTATTTATGGATAAAATAAAGTTAAAAAAGTATCCAAGTTGTGTGATATCATAATCTCTGCTTACCTCTTTTTGGATTAATGGTAGTGTATATGATAGTAAGCGCAGCATAGGAAAGCCTCCCACGAGGTGGATGGACAACCTAGTAAACGGACTCTTTGGATTCAAGCTGCTACCGACCGGTTTTTGTTGTTCATGCAATTTCAAATCATATTGCCTTTTTGTTTCAGCTGTGGAATGGGAGGAAGTAGGACCAGCCCAACAGCGGCATTACCGCCGAGTGTCTAAACAGTGGGTGGAGTCGAATGAAGGAGTCATCCGAGACTTGCTGCACCTCATGAGCAGTGCCACGTTCATTCGGATGTTAGCGGACTGCACTGATCTGCAGATCACCACTTACAGTCAACTAGAGCTGCAGCAGTGGCGACCGGGCGACTTTACTGTATGTACTTCAAGAAATTCCTTATAGCAAGAGTGTGTAAACGAGTCAAACCATCTGTTATATCACACATCAAAGTATAATTGTCAAATATCTCTGCTTGAAGGGCATAACCAGGTGTGATTCACTTGAATTTATTCCTAAAATGATTTTTCATGTTATATAAGACACTTAAATTAAGAAATAATTCAAAACGACGAATGGCGATTGAAATTCTGAATGTTTCCCAGCTGCTGCCGGGGCGCGAGCATTACAGCGCGCCGCGGCTGGAGGCGCTTCTGTACGCGGGCGTGACGCGGCCTCTGTGCGGAGGCTCCACCAGTTACGTGGCGGTGGAGGAGGCGGGCGAGGCGGGCGAGGCGGGGGAGGCGGGCGCCGCGCTCGTCACCGTGCCGCCGCAGAACAACGCGCTCAGCCTCGTGTACTGCGACGCCGGCGCGGCTGCCTTCACCAAGTACTACGGCCGGCTGGCGGCGAGGCCCGACGACCGCTTCTACCTGCTCGCATGCACCTACAGCGAGTGACGCGCCCACGAACACCCTTCTGTGCAGTGACAGTGCTTAGTGCTGTGGTGTGCGTGTGTGTGGTTAAACGTGACACATTTGGCGGGCTGAAGCTTTTGTATATAATGAAAATAGCATCGCGCATCGCATGGAAACAGCCGCAGAACTTATTGCTGACACGACACTCACCGACCACCAGAAGATTTACCCTCAATAATATGTAAATAATTGACCAGGAAACATGGTAATGTAATGCATGGCTTTAAAGAGGGCCAATGATGCGCATTAATTGTGTTCATCAATGGTTTTCATTTGTTAAGTGTTATTGAATTTATTTTGCCCTGTTAGGCTATAGCCTTATGACAGACAATGAACTTTTCTCGAATTTTTATCCTTTTAAATTTGTAAACAATGGCATGTTCAAAAAAGTCGAAGAAAATAGTACAAAAAGTTTTTGCCTCTGTGATGTGAAAGATTTTCGTCCGGTGACACACTCAGCCGTTTAGCTTAGTGGTTAAAGCATCTGGCCATGAATCCGGAAGACGTGGGTTCCATTCCTACTGTGGAGAAAAACTTTTTGTACCTTTTTCTTCAAATTTATTATTGTATCTTAAATGCAGCACTATAAAAAATTTAAATGTCTAATGGTATATTCTTTATCTTCCATATTTTAATTGTTTTCCACATAACACTTAAACAAAATAAAATTTTATTTTTCATCAAAATAATTATTCAGTAAAATAATTTAAACTTAATATATAATATAATTAAAACAACACAACAAGAAACATTTTTCTTGTGTAAAGCTAATTTACCATATTAACAACACTGGTGTAATATATAATGATTATACCAGTTTTTTCAGGTATTAAAAATCGGCCAAGTGCGAGTCGGATTTGCGCACGAAGGTTTCCATACCATCATTTATAAAATCAGCAAAAAAAATCATGTCTGTTGTATGCGAGCCCCACTTAAATATTTTTTATTATTTATGTTTTTTATTCAGTTTTTTAGTAATTGTTGTTATAGCAGCAACAGAAAAATACATCGTCTGTGAATCATCTTAGGAATGGAACCCTAAAAATATGGGTTTAATACAAGAAATTAGTAAAGAATGATATGCAATTGCAATATACTCAGTTAATAATGTTTGATTATGCTATTTTTTAACCTGCATTAAACCTTACTAAGTTATAATGTAAATTTTATTCTTTTCTTTTGACATTTTTGAGACATATGAGAGAAACTAGAAAAAACTGAGTGGGACTAGCTTATACTATACATACTGCATTATTTTAACAGTTTTCATACTCAATCTACATTAACTGGTTTCTACTTGTAGCTTCAGTAAATTATAATATATTTTCTGCAGGTATACCTTGACAAGCCACTTTGATAATGACTATTCTGGGAGTAAAAATTCGAGTTTACTATAATTAAATTATGATATAATATTTCAAGAATCGAATAGTCAATTCAACATCACAATTGTCTCATAAGCTGCTGTTATTGTCACATTCACTGCTCACTTACTTAATGTTTACATTGTGTATTGAAAATGTACTTTTTGTATTACATAATGATTTGAATACTTTGTAATTGTAAGGATACAGCGATAGACTTAACAATTGTATTCTGAGGATATAGAGGATATTTTACATGATTGGTCTATTTGAAAAAGTCTGAAATGTAGATGCTCAATGATTTTAAGCATTCTTGAGGCTATGGTGATGGACATACTATTATTGTATCCACACGTAGCCTAACGCACCCAACCCACAGTTCCTACAGCCACATTTCTCTTAAATTCTAAAACGAATCACTGGTTGGTATTAAGAACATTTAATTTTATATTTAGCTAGGTTTTCCCCGCCCGCCCTGCTAGCCCACAGCTTCGCTCGCGTTGAAGCCTTTAAATAAATTTCTTTCTTTAAAATATACATATATTTTAAAGTTTTCCCAATTAAAAATAGCCTATGTCCTTTCTAGCTCTTTCTTCTTTTTTGCTCTAGACTATCTGTGGACCAAAATTCATTTAAATTGGTTCAGTAGTTTTGGCGTGAAAGCGAGACAGACAGACAGAGTTACTTTCTCATTTATAATATTAGTATGGATTTATGCACAGTTGATTTTTAAGATATTACTTTTATAACAGGCCTTTGTGTTAAGAATCGTTATAATTGGATTGCTTCCAGTCTAATCTGTGAAAAGAATTGTATTCTGACAAGTTAACTTACAAGACCTCTTTCTATTCTATATTAGTATGGAGAGTGAGAGGAATTCAACTTACTAGACACTGTAAAATAATTTTAATTGAATATTCGCACTACTCAATATTAGTAATTTGTAATGTTTTAATAGTTAAAAGACAGTATAACTTGTAAAGAGCATGATATTTGTGATAAAGGATTAATCATTGAGAAATGAGACCACTTAGTGTTGGCTACCATTTTTTTTTATTTATTATAATTTTTTATTATAATTTGGGTTAGCAGTATCACCAACATACATTTAAAATTATGTAAAACACTAAAATTACACTACAATTCCAATCTGTGCGGCCGTTTGAACATAATTAAAGTGCATAGTAGATGGCTGATATTAGACAAGCAGTCAATAATTGTTGTAAAATTTTACAAAGATTGGCCCTAAGTCATGTGAAAGCAAATTAAAGTATTTTTATAAGAGTATGAACTATTTATATACCATACAGGAGCTTGTAATAGAGTACATTTTAAGGTAAACACTTAGTTATGGGTACTACAATTTTTTTTGAGGTCACTGTGTGTCACTAGTTTAGGGCAGGGTTGCCAGGTCTGGTTTCTATGAGATGTGAGCTCAGGCTGGATGTTTCTTGTGATGTATACAAAGAGTGCAGCTGTTATAAATTACCAAGGAGTATTTGTAATGATTCAATGTTTATAAGTTGAATTAATTATGAATTTGAAAAATTATGTTAATTGTTTGATGTTTGAATATATTTAGAAAGGGTTTTGAATGTTTTAACAAATATTCATATTATAATTACCTGTTCCTAATCGGAAATCCAAAAAACTAATTGGAAAGAAATTCAAACTAATTGGAATTCCAAAAGTGACTTGAGCAATGAAACATCTGGCAGCCCTGTGTCGACTGTTACTTTAAGTTTTTTTACGCAATAACTGATTTGTTTTTCACTTAGGAAAATTGTCGAGCAACGGAACGGACACATGTGGCGATATAAGCCCCTCAGGTTAATATAGCCTCAAATACGTTGTGTTAAGAGCGAAAATGTTGTGATCTGTACTGTGTGGGGCGCCTCCATTCTGCAGCGGCCAGGTGCGCCACAGCGCGTTTAATTTGATTTTGTACATATTGTTTATCCATTAAATCTTATGAACCTGTGTCTACTTTCATTCGACACCTATCCATCTATGCTTATGATGTTTATGTTAAAAATACCATCGCCTTAATTTGATTACTAAACACGATTTAACCACATGACAGTGACATTGATACCTCAGCGGTATCAATGTCACTGTCTAGCCTTTGATCAGCCTGCATATTTTCGAAATAATAAAAAAAAATATTTCGAAGATATGTGAAGTCCGCCAATCCGCAGTGGGGCTGCGTGGTGGACTATGCCTGATACCCTCTGTACAGAGGAGGCCTTTGCCCAGCAGTGGGTCATGTCTAGGCTGATACTTTACTTTTTTTTACTTTTCTTTTTCTTTGTCTATGTATGCGAGGCGTTCAATGTATTCTCGGTATTGGGGTGAAAATATAATAATGATGCGGGTAATTTAAATATTCTGTTAGTTAAAGATAAGAAATATAAAATTTAATTTAAAGATATCGTTACGAAAAAGCAACTACGATGACATGAAAATGTTTTAAAGTCGGATATCGCGTTGTGATAAAATTCCTTAAAAACAAGGAAAGACTTAAAAAGTTATTTGCGAAGAAATTGTGGCAGTTTACCAAGTTTATATACTTACATTATGAACTATTCAGAAATGGTCGTTAAAAGTGTTACGGTAGTGACAAAATCTTTGAGAAACTTACTCGGAGAAGCTCGTGTAAAAGTCGAAATGGTTGCAGAAAGGACAAAACTATCTTTTTCCTTATCATTATTTTCGTTATCAGTGATGAAACGTGGGTACATCACTATGAGACAAAGCAAGAGTCCATGCAGTGGCATAAAAAAGTAACAGGCTAGGCGCACCAAAGAAGTTAAAAGCCACCCCATCTACCGGAAAACTCATGGCCAGAATGTTTTGGGATTCCAAGGGAATCTGATTGAATACACAAAAAAATTCAAACTATTATTGCAGCATTTTACACAAAGACCCTGCGTAATTTGAACGGGGCTATAAAAGAACAAAAAAATTGTCGACCGCAGGTGTCTTGCTGCTTGTCGTGAAGCAGCAAGGCTCCTCCACACGCATCGGTTGACAGAGGGCGCGTCGCTAAGGCTGTAAGGTAGAAAAATATTTTTAGAAGGTAATAAAAAGTTACTTTCCTTCGAGAATGAATTTGAACGCCCGATGTAGGTATTACAATAACTAATTTAAGAAAACCATAATAATATCACATTAATTTGATACATCGAATTGTCGTACAATCGATTCAAATAAAAATACATAGCTCTAGTTATCACACTCCTGCTGCTTCATCATTAATAACAAATATAAATAAATTAGTATTTGTTGTTATTTTCAATCAGCCATTAAATAATAAAATCTGATTCTTATTAAATTAAAACTGTCCCTGTTACTGCAAAATATTTTTTTGCATTTGATTTTCAGATTACTGCTTTACCTCTGGGCTGGCACTGTTTCTAGTGAATTTAGGGTGTCGCGGTCCGGCTACGCGAATTTCGTGTCTCAAAAAATATCAATGCGTTAAACAAAATTCGACAGTTTTGTTTCACCCATGTAACAGGGGTGATTGATTTGATTTTTGCCGTCTGAGCAAAAGTTTTGTCGTTATAATATATACATTATACAGCGTGTCGTTACCATCGCGACAATAAATGAACTTAATTAAATAAATTTAAAGTTGTTAATAAATGAATTTAAAGTTATATTAAACATTTTAATTCTTTAAACATCGATATTTACAGAGTTTTTCTTAATTATGGATTTTGTTTAACATTAATATTTTATTATGATTATTGGCACGTAGCGTTAGACGTGTGTTCATTTATTGTCGCGATGGTAACGACACGCTGTATATTATTTATCAATAATTTGAATTTCCTATACATATTCTTAAAGTTCCATTTAACTTTAATAAATAAAAATGGATGTTGGTAAGCGCTTAACTCAAGAATGGCTTGACCAAGCCTAATTGAGGCTAATTTATTTTTTTGTATATTCCTTAATAAGGTCCACGGAAGGTTATACTACTAAAAAAAAAAAACAAACGAAGGCTGCACGGACAGCTAGTAGCACAATAAATTAATCATAATGTTAACCGTGTCGCCGAGTGCAAATGAATTCGCTGCGAGGTTTTAATAAATTACTCGAGTAAAAATTCTTTAAAGAATGCGTTATTTTTACTCGAGTGGATTCGAAAGAGTTCAATATTAGATATTTCATGAAGGCGCATCGGGCGGGTTGCCGCGGCGCGATTAGCCGAGGAAAAGCGGGGTTTTAATATGGTGCAGCGGAGTGGGAGCGACGCCGCCTGATCCGTCGATATTAAACTGGGTGCTCATAAGTTACTTCGTGCAGCTGATACGCCCTGTGCGTACCCAAATCGACCCATTGTTCGCTTTATGCCATCACAATGGCGGCGCCATTGCTTGCGACGGGTTCACGTTAATAACACCGACTCAGGTAACGCCACTTTAGTGTTTCCGATTCAATGATGACTGAATGGATGGTGTACCTACTTGCATCGGTATCACGTCGGTAAACCTTTTCACCTAGTTTAGTTTACGTAGTTTCAAAAAAGTCTATTACAAGAATAAAGATGTTTTAATTCAGAAGTGAAAGACAAGACACTATTATTTTTATTATTCATATGACTCCAAGATTTTTTAATGAAATCGGCGCTTAAAATAATTTCAATAATTTTATTGATATGTAAGATTTATCTAAAATAAACTTTTGATTAGGTTGTTTTACGTGAATGTTTTACATGGTTAAATGAAATTATTTTAGAAATTTTATCGCGTTTTAATTTGATTATCGTTTCGAAACCTTTCCAGCGGTCATGGTCACGGGAAGAAAAGCCAGGTCGGGGCCAGGGCATTTTTTTATATATAGGACATTATAAATGGTAAAATTGATGTATTTACTTTGGTTTCAAACTACTGTACTGAATCAATTCCACGAAATTCACGTGAAATGTTAGTAAATATTAATAAACGGGATACTTTTGTGTAAATCTGTTATTGCTTTTGCAGAATCTCACGCTGTTGCAGAAGTCGGTTGATTTGAGTTTGCAAAGTTGGGTGGGCGTCGCGTCGTCCGCGCTGATTGGCACCCGCGGGACGGGCGACGTGCAAGCGCTGCTCTTTTCCGCAGCGCAGGCCAGCTGGCCCATCTCAAATCCTACTAACTACGTTTGAACGAATTTTACAGGAGAGCAAAAAACTTGGTTTAGGTCAGCCTTTCTAAACTCTACAATAATAATTGTTGCGTAATTGTCCATTGGTATAAGAAGTAGTACGCAAACTTTAACTTGATATATAAAATACCTGTTTATTGTACAAATTTTAATTGTAATTGTAATTTGTAAGAAAAACTTAAAATTTGTAGAAAATAGGAACGAAAAGTTTTTCGCCGTTGTGGGAATCGAACCCACGTCTACGCGATTCGCGCCCTGACGCTCTGGCCACTAAGCCCTAAGTTAAATGCCTGATTGCCACACCGACAGTTATCAGCCCAAAGGTGAAAATGTTGCATGTCCCTGTCATCCAAAAAGCTTTGACAGGATCTACAATGTTGCTCTGGAATCTCGGCCAGCAATTGTTTCATTCCACAACACACATACGGCGGGTTAAAGTGCTTTCTTTTGAATTGTGGCAATAGATAAATTAAATGTTATTAATCAAATTAAAAAGAACGCATCCTTGTATTGAAGCATTATTCTATGCTCTATCCACGATTCTTGGATTAAACGGGGATACGTCTCGAAGCCGTGTCCCTCATAACACTCACAACACATTTCTAGGGAACCGTTAAGGTATTCTTTTGTATATCTATTCATTGTTTTAAACTTGTATCGCCTGTATTTGTGTGCGTGAAGAAGTTATCCTTTTAATAGATGGTTATTTTATTACTTGGTTATTTTTGTTTTCTTTAAGTACATAATTTTTTCCAAAGATGTGTCATGTCATTAAATTTAGTTCCGATCAATATCGATTTCTCCACATCTTTCATTACCAATCTTAATACTTTGATATCGAATAAAGTATATCTCACTTAAATTATTACATTGGTATATTTTTATAATAAATGTTTTGGTTTAGTGCCTTGGATACTTTTCACTCCAATAAAAATAAACCGGCCAAGTGCGAGTTAGACTCGCGCACTAAGGGTTCCGTACAATTATAAAAACCATCTATTAAAAGAGCAAAAAAAAAGGGAGCCCCAGTTAAATATTTTTTATACTGTTTTTTAGTATTTGTTGTTAAAGCGGCAACAGAGATACCTTCATCAATTCTGAAAATTTCAACTGTCTAACAATCACGGTTCATGAGATACAGCCTGGTGACAGACGGACAGACAGACAGTCTGACATCGGTCTTAGTAATAGGGTCCCAGTCAAGTGCGTGTCGAACTCGTACGCCGAGGGTTCCGTACCAACCCATTATACCACCATAATAAAATTGGTAAGTAATCACCACAAATTTTTCGTACTTACAAGTTTTCGTGAAAATCTAAATTTGCCCATATTTTTTTATTGTGTTGACTCAGGACCTTGATTTTTATATATCTGATAGGCACTGCAGACCCCAGCCTTCCCTTACCTCATATCATCTTATAAGGTAAGGTACATAATCCTAAAAAATGATATCGATAATAATTATGTATATTATGTATAATCTGCGTACAAAGGAATTTAATGTTTTTCATGTAAGTAACAAATTTGAAAGTAGGTACGTAGTATTAACATTTTTGAAGCTGAAGAGTTGGGAGCGTAGCGAACTGTTTTGCATGTTCAACTGCAATCGCCGAACCGTATGCGTTAGCGTCGGTGGAAGAATTATTTTTTCTTAATTACATATTTTATTTTTATGCAATACAGGAAATGAACTTCGTTAAATTAAAAATACTAATGTTTGTTTATAGCTCTCATAGAACTAAAAACTACTTATATAGGTTTCACTTTGATTCATAATTACCTAGGTACGTTCCATACAGTAACAGCTCGAGTGTAATAAATCCCCCAAACCCGTGGGTTCTGGCTAGCCCACCGGTTCTGCTTCAGATGAAGCTTTACAAGATACAAGAAGCAATAAATCGAAAATAGATCGCTTGAATTTAGTAACTGTATCCTGTCTTGGATAAGATCTTGCTCGGTCTTCTTAAGTTTTAGTTCATTAGGCAGAATTGCAACATCTGTGCCGTTTTTAAAAGATACTTTGGAGCATAACCAGTGACGGTGTGCTCCGTTTCATTATAATTTTTTACACACATTTGTGCTATAGTTGCCCATGCAATTTTAGTGTCTTTTTCGTTTATCTTACATCTTATTTTATTGACCAACGTTTGATTTAGTCTTTCGTTTTAAACCATTTGAAAAGTGCGAATTCACTGCATTAAAAATTATTTAAATATTCTTTTCATCCAAAAATCTTTTGAATTCCTTGGAATTTATACCTGGATATTGGTCTGAGAGAATCATGCCGATATCGTCTGTTTCTGCACAGTTTTTCACTAGTTTGATGAAATCATTTGCATTTTGAGTACTTGATGTTGAAATGTATGCGTACCTAGTGAAATGATCTGATAGCAGGTGCAAGTATCTCTTTGTCGACCTTGAACCCCCAAAGCCTCCAATGGTATCAATGGAACATATCTCAAAAGGTTTTGTAGCGGGGCCCAATTGGGACATCAATCCATATTTATTTTGTCCTCTGGACTTATTCTTTATACATACTATACAACTTTCGCAGATACTTTTTATGTTTTTTGTCATATTTTCTGCTGTATACAATGAGCTAATCATTCTTTGCATTTGATTAAGTCCTAAATGACCTAGGTTTGTATGTACACTTTTGATTAATCCTATACTAAATTTCTCTGATAGAATTATTTTTTCCCTTTTCTTAACTTTCTTATAATAAACATTATTTTTTTTCAACAATTTTTCTTTTATGGACTGTATATTTCTATTGTTAACTTGATCTTTTAGGATATCTTCTAGTTTAATCATGTTAACCACTTTTAATTGTTCATTCAGGTTTTCATTTGGTTCTAAGACTGGATTTCTGCTTAGACAATCAGCTTCAATGTTATATCTTCCTGGAGAGTATTTAATTTGGAAATCATATTGTGATAGGTAGTATGTTAAATCTCCTAATTCTTCATCCGTTCTTGACTTTATATTCATATTTTCCAAAGGCTTGTGATCGGAGAAGACAGTGAATTTCCTACCTATCAACATATGTTGCCAATACTTTACACATTCTTTAATTGCTAAGCATTCCAGATATATAGCTTTTTTCCTTTTTTGAACTTCGTTCAATTTTTTTGAAAAATATGCTACTGGTTTCTCTTCTTTGTTTTCTTGTGGCTGTTTTAAGACTGCTCCTACTCCAAGTATACTGGCATCTGTGTATATGTGAATTGGCAAGTTATGATCAAAAATGGTTAATATTGGTTGAGAGCATAATATTTCTTTCATCTCATCAAATGACTGTTGGCATTCCTTAGTCCAGTTAAAGATTTGTCCTTTTCTCAAAAGGTTATGCAATGGTTCTAATTTTATTGCTATGTTTGGCACATACTTGTGATAAAAGTTTATTTTTCCTAAAAATTGTCTCACATTTTTTTGCGATTTTGGAGTAGGGAAGTTTTTTATTGATATCAAGTTGTCTTTTAGAGGTCTAACTGAATTATTCTGTATTATGTGGCCCAGGTATTTAACTGAGTCTGCTGCAAATGTGCATTTAGAAAATTTCAGTCTAAAAAAACCTTCACTTTTAATTGCTTGAAATAACTGTTTTAAATGCCCGATATGTTCTGAGAAAGTTTTTGAGAACAACAAGATGTCGTCGATGTAACTTACGGTGAATTCTCCGAGTTTATGTTTTCGTATAACATTACACATTATTCTCTGGAATATTGCTGGCGAGGTTTTTAGGCCGAATGGTAAACAAGTCCATTGAAAGTGACCTTCCTGTGTGACGAATGCAGTTTTGTATCTGTCTGTGACACGCAGAGGTATTGACCAAAATGCTGAATTCAGGTCCAATGTTGAGAAAAATTTGCAATCTCTTGTTTTTACTATTAGGTCTTCAATAAGTGGAAACGGCTGTGACTGCGGAACAACAATTTTATTTAAGTCACGAAAATCTATGCACAGTCTTGATTTTTTATTTTCTTCTCTTTTATAAGCTAATGTAACTGGGGCTGCAAACGGACTATATGATTCTTCTATTATATTTTTTTCCAACAATTTCGCAATCTGATTTTCTATCTCCTTTTTATCTTCAATGGTGCAACGATATGGCCTTTTACTGCAATATTTTTCTACTATCAGATCAATATGTGCTTCATAATCCGGTACCGTTCCGATGTCATATTTGTCCTTTGCAAAAACAGATTTATTGTTCAATATCAAGTCAACAATTACTGCTTGTTTTTGATAGTCTAGATGATTTATACAAATTTTGAAGTTCTCTACACTGAAGTTTTCGTTGAAATTTATTAAATTATCAGATTTTATTTCCTTAGAAATATCAATATCTGTTTTATTTGTTTCCTTAGAAACTATTTCACATCTTTGTATAGGAACTTTCTGATGTATTTCTAAGTTTTCGTTTTGGATTAAGTAAAACTTTTTTATACAATCTAGTCCAATTAAAAAATCGTAATCGAAATTTTCCTTGTCTATTACAAGGACATCCATATTTTTCTCAACATTAAAAATTGTTACATTAAGTGTTACTACGCCTCTAGCCTTTTTTTTAACGCCATTAATTGTTTTTAAATTAGTATTGTTAGAAAAACTTAATTCCTTATTGCTTATCTTTAGCAATCTTGAATTTATCAATGACACATTAGAGCCTGAATCATAGATTCCATATATTTCAACTTTTTTATTCAATACTAATTTTACTTTAATTAATGGCGGCATTATTAGTTTTTTTTTTTGGTCTTCATATTGCAGTTCACATTCCAATTCTGAATTGTTTATGAGCTTTATTTGTTTCTTATCTTTTTCTTTTTCATTTATATATATATTTTTTAAACCAACATATGTCTTCTGAATGATATCGTACACCTTTATTTAGTTTTTCACAAATGTTACATTTTTCTTTCATCAAGTTACTTTTGTTAGTTTTTTTAATAAATTTCCTCTTTGTAACCAAATGTTCTAGTTTGCCGAGTTGAT